GGAGACTGGTTATTTGTTTACTTCTAATTTTATTGATGCAATATACATCCTCTGTGAAATTCCAGCTATTTTTGGAATTTCAACATTCTGTGTTAAATAGAAGGAGAGAGAATAGGCAGTACTGAACCAGTATAATATCTAAATAAGATCCTTTCGCTTCATGTGAGGTTGGTGTATCTTGCCATAGCTGTTTCTAATTGATGAAGAGCACACCGTAGGTCATGTGCCCAACTGCACAACCAAGAAGCAGCCCAACAATTTGCCCAGAAGTCATAATTTATTGGATATATTGCTATCTGCATATGATGCGTATAAAAGTTTTTGGGTGGAAATTACCTTTCTGAACTAGGGTTGCTGTCAATCAACTCGGAAGCAACCAATTGTTCCCTCTCTGCCTCAGATCCTTTTCTCCACCCCTTTCCAGTCAGAGGAACGCTGTCAGTTAGTTATTAAGTCTGAAGACAGAGTGAAGAATTCTGTGAGCTATGTAACCAGTCAGTTAGTCATGAACCTAGTTAAGTAATTAAGCTCATCTATGTAACAAGTTAATATTTCTACACAATATGATATTTGTTATTTCATACATAGGGTTTAAAGCATTGGCGGCTGTCATGCACCCATTTCCCTGTTTGTTTCTCCACACAACCCAGGTTCACTTTATGGTGTGACATTTACTTTTCAAACTTTCCCGCTGCCAGCAGAGGAATTCTCCTCACTATATCAAATATCACTCTTCAATCAGTGTTATTCAATTAAACAATGTTTATTAAAATGTTCACCAGTCAATCATGTAAAGTAAATCATGGATGGTCTTATTTTATTCATTCAATCAACTGTGCTTTTATAACATTTATATTTGCTTAGATAGAATCATGTTACTTCAAGTATTCATTTCTTTTCTTATTCCCCATCTCTCTATTACTCTTCTCTAACACAAGGTTGCTCCTAACTGCCTAAACTGCTTCTCTCTAACTGAAGTCCTTAACTATAACTCTCCTCCCTAACTCATCCCTAACTGATTCCAAACTCAGACTCTAAATGAAATCCTCTCTAACTGCTCTTTATCTGTCATCCATTCTTCTTCTATATCCTTAGCTCTGCCTTTTCTGTATAACCATTGGCTCCTGAATCAAGGTTCCATTGTGATGGACAAGAGTGGTTACTGACCTGTCCGGCACAGTGGCGAACCTTTTTGGGCCCGCATGCCCAAACTGGGGAAAAAATAAAACAGCAGGCGGTGTCCTGCTGCCATGGCAGCGGCGGTGATGGAACTGGAAGTGGCGGCGGAAGGGGGAAACCTGGCATGGACGTGCCTCAAGAACCCACTCCGGATCTGCTGCCGGCACCAGGGTCTGGTACACACACACTTGATGAAGCCCTTGCACAGGCATTGTTCTCCTCCCCCTCCTGCCTGCCGCCAGCGCTGCCCCCTTTTCCTCTCCAGCCACACCTGGGACTTTGCTCCTTTAAGGGAGGGAGGGGGTGTCCGACGTCATGTGGCACACGTGCCATAGGTTCACCATCTGACGTCATGTGGCACACATGCCATAGGTTCACCATCTCTGGTTTAAAGCAATCTGTGGGTGGCTTACAATTTAATTATGCAAGCTACATTTTACCCTCTCCAGCAAGCTGGCTACTCAATATACCAACCTCAAAAGGATGGAAGGCTAAAAGAAAGCCAAAACCCATAGACACTTTCATAATCATTATACAGTGGTGCCTCGCAAAACGAATTTAATTTGTTCCGTGTTAATGATGTCTTGCGAAAAATTCATCTTGCGAAACACGTTTTCCCATAGGAATGCATTGAAATCTAATTAATGTGTTCCTATGGGCAAAAAAAGTCAGAACAAAGTCAAATTTGGTTTACAAAGGGTTTCTTAAGTGCTCTTTAAAGCCATACATATTGTGCAGATGATTTCAAAAATTTCAATCAAAAAACATTTAACTTTTTAAACATCATAGAAAAACATTTGAAAATCAGCAAACATGAGGCCGGAACAAAAAACGGAAAACATTCATCTTGCGAAGCATGGCCATAGGAACATTTGTCTTGAGAATCATCAACCCCATTGTCAAAACCATTTGTCTTGCGAGTTTTTTGTCCTACGAGGCATTCATCTTGCGAGGCACCACTGTATTAGAAACTCACTACTGATAATATGGGAAACGATAAAAAAGAAAATATACATAAAAATACTGTCCATGGTGGCTTTCACCTATGGAAGCATTTGTGCACCCAAATTTCAAGAACTTTGAGGAAATTTTATGTTATAAAGATATACTAGATACAGAAGGGAAATTAAAACCAAAACAAGATCTTATTTCTTAGGGATTAGGCTTGTCATGGCGGCCATTAAGGCAACTTCAATCTAGGTACAATAAAGATGTTAAAGATGGCATTTATAAAGAACAAATACCACTTGAACAAATATTGTTACTCAGATGATAAACTAATTAAGAAACTATACAAACTGCTTTTGAATGGTAATAAGATGAACAGGTGAAAGAAACAATGGTACAATGGGCTAAAAATTTGGGGCACAATATTGAATTGGAGAAATGGCTGAAATTGTGGAATAGAAATAGGAAAGTAACAATGGCGACTTGGATAAAGAAAATCTTTATAAAAAATTTATAGATGGCACTTACCACCTGTTAGAATTGCAAAACAGTTTCAAAATATGTCTAGTGAATGTTGGAAATGCAAACAAAAAGTAGGTACTATTATCATATATGGTGGACATGTGAAAAAGCAAAAAGAAGAAGAAGAAGAAGAAGAAGAAGAAGAAGAAGAAGAAGAAGAAGAAGAAGAAGAAGAAGAAGAAGAAGAAGACTAAAATACATACATGGTTGGTTAAAATGCTTTAAAAACGTATAGATTTTAAACCAGAACTGTTTTTATTAGGTATTTTACCAGAGGATTTTGATAAAAAATCGGTTCACCTAACACTCCGTATTATGACAGCAGCTAGGATTGTATTTGCACAACATTGGAAAGAAGAAGAAATACCAACGGAAGAGATAATTAAGATTTTAGATTGTGCAGAAATGGATAGACTCACACTGAGACCGAGAGAGAAAGAAGATTCAGAATACTTTAATATGTGGAATTAGATTGCTGCCATGACTGCATGGGTGTAAGTCTGCTCTGAGTTTATGACTGTTCAAGTCTGCATATGACTGTGTTATGGTCATAACTCCATGATGCCACCTGAGCATTTTTACAGGTATCTTTTTATTGTGAGACCAGTCACTCATCAATAGTTAATTTAAATTTAGATATATAGGGCACTAAAAGGCACCTCTATCTTTTTTCCTACTCATCCTTCAAAATAAAAATAAAACACAGTACAGAATAAAAGACAAAACAGCTATAGAATTTGACTGGCAGATTATAGGGGTTAAAGTTGCTGTTTTTAAAGTTGCTGTTTTTAAAGTTGCTGTTATTTTGCCAAGCTGTACACCTAATTGCCTAATTGCCTTTTAATTAGTGGCCCAGAAGTACATTTACTGGGACATGTATGGAAGCTACTGCTCAATCCATATCTACCATATGCATTCCTCCAATCAAGTCTCATACAAGAAATT